GGTTCCCCCCCCCCCCCCCCCCCCAAACAACACTCACTGCTGTCACCCCCTGTTGCCTTTCGCTCGTCCGACATCAACAGCTACCTTCGCCGCCTGCGGACCCTAAGGTCGCGAGAGGTGGACATCGAGCGCCGGGAGGCCGAGCTAGCCACGGGCGAGGCTAGGCTCCGGTACCGCTCGGAGCGGGCCCTGGCCGCCCTTAGCTCCCAGCGGGAGCGACGGAAGGAGGAGGAGCAGGAGGGCGATAGTAATAAGCGCACCGTCGCAGGCGGTGGTGGACATCCGGGTTGTTGTTTCTGTTTCCCCCGGGGGTCGTCTCCGCCGGCGGCGAGGGTTGGAGCGGGGAACGGCCACGAGGCAAGGCCGTCGCCGCCCCCGCGGCTGCACCACCGACAGCCCCATCACAACCTCGACGTACAAGACCAGGAACGGCAGAAGCGGCAGCAGCAGCATCAGCAGCAGCAAGCTCCGTCCCCTGCAAGCCTTGCTCGGCAAGCTTCACAGCAAGCCCCGTCCCCTGCGAGCCTTGCTCGGCAAGCTTCACCGCAAGCCCCGTCTCCTGGGAGTCGTGTTCGGCAAGCTTCGCCCTCAACGACGGGCAGCTCGTCCGCTTTCGGTGGTAGGGAGGCGGTGGCGGATAGAGGTGCCGCTGCGGGGGAACAGCGGAAGACTCCCCGCCGGGAAAGGGAGTGTCGCGGAGTGGCGGGGGAGGACGTGACGACGCTGCTGCGACGGAGGAGGAGAAGGGGGGCTGATGATACTGCTGAAGGATCTGCTGCACCGGGTAGCGGTGGTTCCGATACCAGCCGGCGAGGGGAGGACGTTGCAAAGCCAGAGTACTGCTACGCTTCGCTAACGTGAGCAAATTGATGTTGGAGTAATTCTAGAGTGCTTGTATTGATTGCTTGCGTTAGGTGATACGTTTTGTCGCGAAAGCGCCGCGGCGAAGGGATTGTTGCGACCCTCCGACCCAACGTGCCCCCTGCTTCTGCCCTCGCTGTCTCTTGGTATTTTGATGTTGTGCTGGCTTGCTACATACGTAGGTGATGCGTTTTATCGCGAAAGCACCGCGGCGAAGGGATTGCGTGTTAACCCCCCACCCCACGTGCGCCTCTGCTCCCCTTGGTGCGTGTCTTGTGTTCTCCCTCGCCCGCTTCCTCCTCGCAACAGCGGCGATAAGTCAGACCTCCGGACGCCTAACGCCGCGGACGCTACCACTGCCGTGCTGGACTACGCGTCGTTGGTCCTCCACAGAGACACCTCTCGCCACGTCTCGCCGATCGCACACAGGAGCAGCAGCGGTAGCACCGACGCCGACAGCGGCGAGAGGGTGGTCGGCAGGGAGCAGGGCGAGAGCGCCGTCAGGGAGCGAGCGAGTGAATGCGGCAGTGGCGGCCGCGGGGACCCCAACAGTACGGTAAAAATGGCCGATGATGGTGGTGATGATGATGCCGTCGGCACGACCGCCGTCGTCTCGCCCCCTCGCCCGTCCTCCTGTCTGGATGAAACCGTCCCGATGAGCTCGCATGACGGCGGGGCCTTCGCGGCCCCGCCGTGCGTGGCGGCGGCGGGAGCGACGCCGCCGCCGCCGCCGCGCAGGCAGCAGCCGCGCAATCGGTACCGCTACAGCCGCCACGACGATGAGGACCGCGCGTCTTCGCCGGCCGGTGAGGGACGGCGGCGGCGGGCGAGAGGCGGCTGGGACGACAACGGGGGGGAGTTGCACTCTACGAGGACAGAGGCGGTGATGGCTGCCGGGAGGAGGGCCAGGGTGAGGAGCGGCGGCCGCTGTATGGGTTGTGAATACCTGCATGCCGGTAGAAAACAAAAAGGTCCTGTGTAACCTTCCCTCTTGTGTGTGACCCCGGCTGATGCGTCAGATATATGGTAGGCCGATTGGCTTGTAGCCAGAATGGATGGGACGAACAGGAACACACACTTTGCTTTGTTTCGAGTACTTTTGATTGCGGGCTTCGGGGATGCAATGTGGTTGTCCGGGTTGGATGCTGTTGTACATCGCTCGTATCTGCGAGGTTGTCGGCTGTGATGCCTACGGCTCGCGTGCGATGCCGCACACCACGATTTTTCTTGGAACGATGATGGCTATATGTGAAGCAGACGGCTCCACCTCTTCACACAACAAAACCATTGCACAGCAATCCACCGTTGAGCAATCCTGCATCTGTTGTTGTTGTTGTCGTTGTCGTGGTCTTCACGTCCACCCATGTTAATTCGCGCGTCGCCTCAAAGCTTGTGGTCTGCTACACGCAATAACCCCCCCCCCGTCTTGTCTATTCTCCATCACGACTTTGTGGCAGGAGTCCTACGCCGGCTTCATGGAGACGATAGCGGCGGCGCGAGATCTCGGCACCTGGGCAGCCCCCGTGCCACCACCACCACCACCGCCAGCACCGCCGCAGCAGCGGCGCGACCACGGCGTCAACAACAACCACGACAAGGAGAACGCCTACGCCTCCTCCCCCGCCGCCGCCGCCGCCGCCGTCGCCGCCCCCACCGCGGCGGCGGAATATTCGCAAAACACGGCGCCGCTTGCGGAACTCCCGAACGGGCGTGCCGCCGGGACACCGCACATCAGCAGGTACCCTTCTGCTGCTGCTGCCACTGCCTGTCGTGGGTATCAGTTTGATGGCGTCGGTGTCGGCGCGGGCACGGCCGGCAGGCGAGGGAGGGGTTACCGGAGGAGCGCCAGCAGCGAAGTCACTGCGCCGGCGGGAATTAATGGGGGCGGCGGCGCCTTTGTCGCGACACCGCCGCCTGTCGGAGAAAGGACGGCCGCCGTGCCGCCGGCTTCGGGGGCCGGGGTTGGCGCCACCGCCGCCGGTAGCGGAGGCGTGCGTCGACCGGGGGTAGTGTCGGCAGCGGACGACATGCACCTTGCGGCGGTGGCGATGGCCCGCGCTAGGATAGGAAGAATATCGTCGAGGTTTTGATGACGTTCTTGATTTTCTCGAGTTATCGTGATATCGATGGATTGTGTTTTATTTATATGTGTAATTTCTGTTGTATTTGAGTTATCGTAATATGGAGCTCGTGGCCGAGGGAGACGAGTGGAAGGGGGACGTGTAAGCAACGTTGATGGTGTCTTTGTTTATCAGACCGCGTTCATGCGAATCGCGTCGCTATTTTAGCAGTTGTGGCAGGACTCTTGGGCTGGTTTAGTTCTCTGTATTTTTTTTTTGGACCAGGGCGCAGTTGAAGGATCGCCCGAAATCGAGTATGCGCCGGATATTTAAAGGAATCTAGTTAGGATGTCAGGTGTTGGCTTCGATTTTCATAGTTTATGAAAAAAGACTAGTGAATTGGGTTTGATCAGTTTTCCGTGATGCCGTCCGTGTAGGTGTTGACACCTGTCAAGAGAGAAAAATCGCCGATTGTTGTAGCTCACATTGATTGGCCTTGTATTTATGAGGTGCGAATTTATCAAGAAGAATCAAAATCGGGTTCACTGCCCGGGAAGGGCAGATTGCCTTGAGATCGGCTGGGATCTGGGTACTAAAATCCGAGATGAAGGAAGCTTGTGAAAAACACCGTTCCCAGAGAAAAACCAAGTGTGTGCGATTGGCAAGAAAAATCATACCATACTGACAACAGGTGCCTCGCTTCGATTTGGCCACAATGGCAAGGACGCCCTTGCCATGCCATGCACGTGTCGCTATGAGCCCTTGTACGGTGGTACAACACTGGGTGAGGCAAGCTGGTGTGCACCACTACTTCTACACGTGGATAGATTCCATCGTGTCCTTATCTGCTGGACAATCGCTCTCGGACTAACGAACACGGCGGAAGACTGCACTCGCGAACGATTGAAACACGGTTTCAAGTGCTTCCAGTGATTCTTCTACTTTCCTCGACTACGAAAAAGAAATGCGTACATTCACTGAAAGACAACGCGTTCGAGAGAGTAGTACCACATTCGAAGGGTATGTGCTGAAAGTCTTCTTTGCAGAAAGAAAACAAAAAACTCGTCTCTGCCTTGACGGGACGCTTGCCAAACGGATCGGATGTGCTACTTGGAGGAAGAGCGCCAATGAGGGATCAGTAATGGATCATTGCTGAAGCTGCGCCATTGCACCAACCCCCCACTAGATAGATCTAAGAATAAAAAGACACCCCCGTATCAAGGGACACTTTTTTCAAATTGACGTATATACCTCCGCGCACAATCCGCGGAAAGCTGTTCCATTTTTTTTGTGTGTGCTTTCAATTTGGAGCTCATCTTTCATTTAAGCTCAAGTCTACTCAATTTGGTGATGAACTTCGTTCCAACAACATTCGGCCCCAGATGATGGTAGAATGTTGTCATTTATTTTTCTGCCCACGTGGTGACTGCCGCTAAGCCCTACAATCAACATATATATATATATATATTTCTCAAACACATCGACGATGTAGTTTAATGTAGTATCTTTTCTCAAAAAGGGACCACCCAAAAAAGATATGGTATGGAAAAACGACAACCCACTTCTTATTACGCTCCGTCTTTCCAAAACGAGGTGTTCGATTATTCTCTGAGGCGTTTGGCGTGCGCGCGCGAACGATTTTTGAATTCTTGCAGTTCGCGCCGCTTCTCTCTCGCGCACGCACACAAGCTATATCAGCACACCACGCGTACCAACACCGCACACACACCACGAGCCACCGCATTCCATGGATGTCATGAAACTAGACAACGTTCAGCCTCTACCGCTGGAGTTCAACGGGTATGTCGAGGGCACGTTAGATTTGCTCCTGGGGGGCGGCAACGGCCTCTCGAAGATCAAGCTTCTCAAGCACCTCCAGAAAGTGTGCATCGTGTACGCTTGCTTGGCGGTCAAGCGGAACGCCGGGATCGTCAGCACGGAGGCGAAGCACAAGGCAGCGGCGAAGGGCTACAAGGACATCGCTGTCCCATGATTCTTTAAGTGGCTCAAGGACAACGGCGTAATGATCAAGCAGGCGTGGCTGACGTTCGAGGTCATGGGCAGATCAAGTCTGAATGGAGGTGATTGGCATTTTTCTCACCTCCATTCAGACTTGATCTGCCCATGACCTCGAACGTCAGCCACGCCTGCTTGATCATTACGCCGTTGTCCTTGAGCCACTTAAAGAATCCTGGGACAGCGATATCCTTGTAGCCCTTCGCCGCTGCCTTGTGCTTCGCCTCCGTGCTGACGATCCCGGCGTTCCGCTTGACCGCCAAGCAAGCGTACACGATGCACACGTATTGCGTGATCTGTATTGCGTGGTACTGCTATATTGCTCCGCAATAGTGGTTGAGGGTCAATACAGCTTTTGCCCCAAATATATCTACAGCAGCGTGTTGTGTATGCTCCTGAATCAGCGGGAAACTACAAGCCCACCATCGGAAGAGGACTCTCATTGATGGCGGTGTTTCTGCTGTACGCAGCTGATGTAGAACCAGCAGCTCATGTCGTGTCGAAGGATAGGCCTGCACGTGTGGAAGAGTAGGCCTGCACCATCGAGCAGCTGATAAACCGGAAGGAGGTGAGAGACGCGTTGGCGCGCTCCTGGTGGATGTGTGCATGTGCGCATAACCTCTTGATCGGTTGTGCTCATGAGTCGTGTGTGTGTTGGAAACTGAAACTCCCCAGCAGTCGTATTGAGCAGAGTCGAGCAAGGGAGGGCACACGGACATGCTCCTACACATCAATATTGACCATGTACTGCTTAATACGTCACCACACTTTGTGGCGAGGGTCTAGGTTGCCACAGGTGCCTTCGCTGCCATAATGGTCCTTCATCACACGCCTTTTAATTGTCTAGCCAACGAATCGGTTGACCTACAGTGCGACCTTTTTTCTTTCGGCTAGGTCATGACCACCGTCTGTGAATCAGCCCCCCCCCCCCCCCCCCCCCCCCCCCCCCCCCCCCCCNCCCCCCCCCCCAGCGCTCAAAACGCACTAGTGTACTGCGAGCAATAGGTAGTTCAACCCCAACCCACAACCCTGTAATTTTCCAGCAAAAACCGCAATATCCTTGGTCATAGCCCCGCTTCATGGCATAGCCCGCCCCCAGTAATTACTCCACCGACGTACCAAACAAATTGGCGTAATCCCGGCGTACCGTTTTCTCTGCCCTCTGTAACCTCACCCCTTCTTGCGCCCCCCCCCCCCCCCCCCCCCCCCCCCCCCCCCCCCCCCCCCC